ACACACACACACACACACACACAAAACACGAGTCTGGTTTCCTGACAGAAACTTTATTGATTAAATTGACTTTGTTTGGTTTTGAATGACATGATTTGGATAAAAAACACATTAACAAACAATTCTTTATTCCAGACTCAAGAGTCTGAAGTTCAGATGAAATGAACCTGAACTTTGATCTGACTGCAGTGATAGTGATACAATAAAATATAATAAAGATAAAACCTTCAGAAGGAACTGAGCAGCAAATTAAATTCATAAACACGTTTAATCCAAAAACAACCAGATTTTATAAAGAGGTGTAATGTGAAGTATTTTCTATAAGGTGAAACCCTACCATCCACTGCTCCTGCAGTCTGACAGCTGAGCTCCTGTCAGCTTGGAGCTGGAAGCTTCATGTCACACAGCTGAGCTCCTGCAGACATGAGGGGGTTGTGTAGAAAATTTCCATAACAGGTAAACTGGACAGCAAACTGTATTTCAAACCAACAGACTCACATAAACTCCTACAAAGGGAGAGTTTCCACCTAAAACACACAGTTAAAGCCATCTTAAAATCTCAACTAATCAGATACCAGAGGGTCTGCTCCAGCACAACTGATAGGGACCAAGCCTCAAACACAATATTCAGAGCCTTAAAAAACAGGAAATATCCCAGATCACTACTGCTCAAAGTTAAAAGAGAGATCATCCAAGCACCAAATCTGACCACAAACAAAAGAAGACCCCCTAAACAAACAAACAAACAAACAAACAAACAAACAAACAAACAAACAAACAAACAAACAAACAAACAAACAAACACTACATTACCTTAACAGGTACTAAAAAGCATGAACAATTAACCCCGGTCCTGGCTTCTCTCCATTGGCTTCCTGTTCACACGTGAATTGATTTTAAGATTTTATTGATGCTTTTAAAGTTTTTAATGGTCTGGCCCTATCATATTTATGTGATCTTCTTAACATCTGCACTCCAGTCAGAGCTCTCAGGTCTACCAACCAGTTCCTGTTAGATGTTCCTAGACCCAAACTGAAATCTAGAGGTGACGGGGCTTTTGCAATAGCTGCTCCAAAGCTGTGGAACAGTTTACATCTTAATATTCAGTCAGCAGAGACTGTTGAGGCTTTTAAATCTCTGCTGAAGACTCATTTATTTTCTTTGGCTTATGTTTAAGATTTAGAGGTTCATTTAGAGCTTTTTCTTATATTGTGTTTCTGTATTTGCATCTATCATTGATGTCTTGACTGAACTGTGAAGCACTTTGGTCAGCTTTTGTTGTTAATGTGCTATACAAATAAGTTTGACATTGACTTTGACATTAACTGGACACTATTCCTATTTCACCACACAAAACCATAAAACAACATTTCCACCAACTAAAACAAATCCTTACAGGAAGCTAAAACTGTAAAAGTTCTCTCAGCCTGCCAAAAATCCCAACCTCCAGTTTTTACTCCATGACATCCTAGTCCATTCCAAATTCAGTTGTAAAGACACACACACATCAGAAAACACACTTCTAAACCAATCTTGTGCAGCACAGCTACCATCAGTCCATGGTTAACCCTGAACTGTCACAGAGTAATACCATGATGAAACTAATCCCTCTTACTGACGAGCCAACACTATATTATGAAATGAAATATACACCTAAACCATAAAATAAAACTAAGCCTAACATCAGTGATCTGTAAACAGTCATTATAAAGAACTCTGAATAATGTAAACATTTATTTTGATTAGATTAACCTCATTGCAAACATCCTAAATCCACCTACCAGACCACACCCCCAACTATTTCTGTCCCCTCCCCCATTTCTCACCCTACTCGGTCAACCTCCCTTCTCTGAACATTCCTGCTTCTCTTTTACCAGCTGTGCAGAGTCATCAGGTGACAGGTGGGATCCTCTGAGTCCTCTAACCTGACCCCTTACATCTTCAGTCGACACTCTGACTCTCATTCTGCATCTCACCACTAGATGGAGGTATAAGAACATGATTCATGAAGATTATTATTTCCTGAACACGACTTATGTATTATACAAAATATAAAAGCATTAAAACCAATAGTTTTTTATGGTTCTGGTAGTTTGGACCCAGTCCTTCATGCCCAGCTGATGAAGCTTCAGTAACTGATGTCAGACTGCCTCTGCTCACTCTGTTAGGAGCTTCATGCAACATTAAATTTAATATTGATAATACTGTATTGTTATGGCAATATGTATTTAACAAAGACAGAAATACGTGGTCCAAGAATGAAGGTACTCCGTGAGATGATCAGCTGAGTTTTATTACAACAACAGGAAACACAGAGAACAACCTGTCCTGTCTCTGTGCCTCTGCTTCTCTCTGTCACTGTCTCTCCACACCACTGTTGAACACTGTGTCTTGAGAGGCCTCATTTATATATTAACCCCATTATGTCATCTTAGCAAGATTTGATACAAGGTCAATGGAAAACACAAAGATAAACACAAGTGATATCTAAGAATGACTGTTGTTAACAAATCTTGTTCTGACTTTAATCATTCTGTCTGCAGATGAACAGCATGTCATGAAAACCTAGGTCATTAAAGGATGTCATGAATTACTGGATTAAACATAAAAGTATTAGTTCCACCACAACTGCAAACAACACAACTTTACTGCAAATACAACTTTACTGCAAACACAACTTTACTACAAACAACACAACTTTACAACAAACAACACAACTTTACTACAAACAACACCCAACTTTACTACAAACTAAACACAACTTTACTGCAAACTAAACACAACTTTACTGCAAACTAAACACAACTTTACTGCAAACTAAACACAACTTTACTACAAACACAACTTTACTGCGAACTAAACACAACTTTACTACAAACACAACTTTATTGCAAGCTAAACACAACTTTACTGCAAACTAAACACAACTTTATTGCAAACTAAACACAACTTTACTGCAAACTAAACACAACTTTACTGCAAACTAAACACAACTTTACTGCAA